CACTATGGGTCGGAACCAACTCGATGGCACTTCACAACAACAACAACAACTCAAAAGCAATTTATAGAATAATGCAATCCCAATCCAGATTCCAACATCATTCTTTAAAGAGATGGAAAAAAATATCACTAACTATATATGGAAACAATAACATCATCTACGGAAAGGAAAGAAACCCCAGAGAACGGCTTACGAAGATAAAAAGTTGGAGGCACTTCTCTCCCTGACCTTGAAATTGCTTATGTAGCCACCAAACATGGAGGCAGGAACAGGGGACAAGTCTGTATAAATGGTAGCCACACATCATGACCCAAGTAGCCAGTGGAAAAATGGCCAGTTGGCACTCAAGTGTCCACTGCAGGGGCCCTGCCCACTCACTGGTCCCTGTGTCTCAGAGTTCCATCTGTCTACATCTCCGTCCTCTCCTAGTTAGTTACACAGGCTGACATGACCACGGTTCCACTCTCCAACAACCACAATTGTTCCTAACCCATCTCCATTCAGTTCTTCATGGTCCTGCTCATCACATGTCTCCTCCCCAACATCTAAAGTCCATCCTGTCCACATCCCCAATCTGATAGCCAGTCCTTCCTTTCATGTCTCCATTCTCTTCCAAAAGCCATCCTTCCTAATCTCTAGGCTGAGTTGTATCTACATCTACTTCTCTTACAAATGCAGTCCTTCCTGTCTGTCCCAACTGCTCATTCTGATAATGCCTTCATTCTCTCCCAATCACAATCCACATGTGCACCTTCATGCTCTCCAATCACAGTCCATCCTGCGCCTTCATTCTCCAATCACGGTCCACATCTCCAACTTTACATTATTCTCCTTCACTCCCTGTTGCAGACGGTGAAGGCCTGGTCAGAGGTTCAAAGCCCTATAGGCCCGAGTGTAACAGATCTAGCCACCTGGCAGTTAATAACAAATTATTTTTCATCTTAATATCCAGTTATGTTTTATTAATTGCAGACATGAAGCCCTTGATATATACAGATAAATGTAATATTTTCCTAAAAGTCAAGACTGTAAAATTCCAAACAGGCAAAGTTCTTCCCTCAGAGAATTCATTCAAGGTAAATTGGGTGGCTCCCTGGTCTGTTCCAAAGACAATAGGAATGCCCTCCCTAAAGTGTTTCCAGGTGCTGCCTATTCACCCAGGGCCTCTTTTCCTGAAGAACCTGGGCTGGGCAGCTGACACAATGGGTATCCTCCCAATCCTCCCTTTCCTCCCTCCATTTGAGGCTAGGTGCTAAAAGGTATGTTAATTAAGCTTGAGAAACCAAGTTGCGATCCTGAGATTAGAACCTGAGAAGTATGATGTAAAGTTGCCTGAATGTCTGGAAAAGATTGACAGCTGTACCTTGTCTTAGCCCCTCCTTACTTTGTGTAAAGTACCTCCCCCAAATAAAAGGAAGGCGCAGAACGAATCCAGGTGCATTACGACTGGCAAGGCGTGCGTTACAGCATGCAGGGGGCACAGTCTAGCCTTGCAACCATACTGCCTGTTTAGCTAAGATGTTTACTATGCAGGATATTACAGCCTTCGTGGCTGAGATGTTTGCAATGCAGGATCAGCCTGATGCCAGTCCAGCATTCACTCTGGTTTCGGAGTGTCTCTTTGTCTCTCTCTTTGCGTCTCTGTGTCTCTTTTGCTATCTTTATCGCCATCAGGTATCTCCACCTCGTGAACCGAACCCCTATGTCGAGGCAAGACCCCGGCAACACCCCTTTTTGCTGCCACTGTATTCTGACTATCGCTTAAGGACTTCTGCCATTACCTAGCAGGGCACTTTCTAAATTTTGTTTTGACTAACAGGAGAAAAAAACAAAAACCACACACACACACAAACACTAATAGCTTGTTTGAAAATATGATGAAACTGCTAATACAACAGCAAAACAATCTGGCCGTGCTCACTGACTTGACCAGCTGTAAGAACTGGTTTATGGATTACCCAATATGAGGTGTGAGGCTGGATTAAAATTTCATTTATGAATTAATCTTATTAGTTTTTTCCACTAGAAAAGTATGTGAAAACTTATTCAATCCATAAATTCACGGACAGACTCGTGACCGCCATCAAAGGATGTTCACAGAACAAAGCTCTGAGATTCACTGATACCCTTGGGGGCCCAAATAATCCATCAGGCCTGAGAGAGCAGGAACGGAGGGCTTAACTGAACTGTTAGTGAACAGTGAGCTGTTCTCGTCACACTGTTAGAACCCCACGCTTCTCAGAGGCACCACCGCCTGTATCCTGACAGCAGCTCGTTGGCTGTTGCCGGAAGGTGTGGGTGACCATACGCTGAGGTAGTGGGATCAAGGGAAAGGAGGGGGCACCACTGTAAGCCATTACTTCACTCGCTAACAAGGCTCCAGCTCACCTGGACACTGACCACCCCCGCCTGCCCCAGGGATGAAGCGGTCACTGCACTCTGAAAAGCCCTCAGCCCCAGCCTCCTTGTGGTTTTCCTTGTGAAATGTCAACACCATAAGAATGAGGTGGGAAGAGCACTGAGCATGGTCACTGGGGTCTAGCTAGTACCTGCAAGTCCATCAGCTGGGCCGTCGACGTCCCTTGGAGGCACAGCGCCTGTGCTATCAGAGCTTGCAAGTCTTCCAGGCAAAGCGTGTCTACCTGGGCAGGAGAGAGAAGGAGGCATAAGGCTGTGGGAAAGTCAATACGTGCGCAGTGACTCCCAATTACCACACGCAGCCACACACGCAGGGGCCGTGGAGACCTCAGGGGACCAACTAGCAGCTGGGGGTGGGGGGGAGGTTGGGGGAGACGCACAAGGCCAGTCTGTCCCTACTGGCTGCCAGTCTGTCCCCCCTGGCTGCCAATCTGTCCTCCCTGGCTGCCAGCCCCGGCTCTCACAGGGCACAGGCACTCTCCTCGGGCTTCTTTAGGGGTTTTGCCCTCTATATTCTCTCTAGCTATGTTGAAAGTTCCAGAATGTCCACGAGGAATCTTAGAGAAATCTAAGTGCTCATTGTTTTTGGCACAAATGGCCAGAGTTAGCCATGAAACAAAGACCCTCTGCCTACAGATGCCACCACTGCCAAGCTGGACTGAGGTGACGAGGGCAGGATAAATGCTACCTCCACCAATCCCAGATGAGAAATGTTCTTGGATCCTGGTTTAAAAACACCAGAATCCCAAACCCTGAGCCTCTTCAAATTCTTTGTGGATCCGAGGGTACAGCAAAGAGTACGGGAGATGAGGGAGTTGCTACTGGCTGTAAAGAATTCTGGAGGCTAAGTAGAGTTGAGTGGGACAGTGAATGAGGAAGACCCCAGCACTGAGGAATTTGAATTACTGTGCTGTCAAAAGAACCAACAGATGTGTCTTGGAAGCTATACAGTGAAATGTTCTTAGCAGTGAGGATGCAGAGACCTCCTCTCTATAACGTATTACCAGTCCTGGACGGGTTGCCCCAATCCCACTGGGTAAAGTAGGTGAGCTGGGCTGACACAGTGACAGCAATAGCAACAGTGGACTTAAACATCATTGTGAGGACGGCACAGGACTGGGCAGAGTTTCATTCCCTGGTGGACAGAGGCGCTCAAAGTCAGAACCAACTAGATGGCACCTGACAATAAGAAGAAGCCAGGCCGAGGTAGTGCGAGAGCAAAGCGGAAGGAGAGGGCTAGAGAAGGGTCAGAAGGGAGTGGGGTCTCATCATGGGAGGGAGTGACTCACAGATGTAGAGGACTGACAGAACTGGGGCAGGGACATGGGATAATGCTGCGGTAAGCATCAGCATGCAGCTGGCTCCTAAGAGACCGTTCACATGCCTCCCCTCGGACTCCCTCCTAGGCTGACAGCAGCCACCCCATGACACTCTCTTCCTACTGGGTTTAAGAATGCACTGCCAGGCCCACACAACCCACAGACCATACTCCCAGTTCATGGTTTATTAGGGAAATGACAGGGTTAGGATAACCTGGAGCTAACAGAAGCAGTTCAGGGTCCAAGGTCTAGCAGGGTGACATTACAGGAGCTCCGTCAGCTAACCCACCCAGCTCTCAGCCAGTGCAGCAGATTTGAGCTTGGTTCCACTCTGCTGGGAGCTGCTCTCTGCCAGCTGTAACTATTAGTAGGTCTGGGAAGACCTGTCGTCTAGGGCCCCCATATCCCAGGGGGCACTGGGAACCTCTGTGCTTTGGCCCTTGATAGAAGCCAGTTCTCATCTGTTTATAGGGCGGGGCTTCCATCACCAGTCCAGGGTCCAACCAATCAACTCAGACCTTGTGCAAAAGTAATGAAAGAGGCTGGCTCCGACTTTCTGAGGTAAGAGACAACTTGAGAGCTCCCCAAGTTGCTTTTACAAAGACTTGGTGGAGGCACATTTGACCTCTGCCTCATAGAAACCAAAGAGCCCTGCCTGGTGGCGCTGTGCGGTAGGAGTTGGGCGGTGAACTCCAAGGTCAGCAGTCCAAACCACAGGAGAAAAATGAGGGTTTCTGCTCCTGTGAAGATTTAGTCTTAGAAACGCTGCACAAGCTTTCCATGAGCGGGAACGGACTGGATGGTAGTGAGTCTCACAGGAACCAATCACCTCTGTGGATTCTTAGCGGCAGTTAGTCCTCGTGATTCCTGCTGCTGAAGTTTGTTACCCACCTCTGGACAGATCCAACGGGCAGGGTCCCACCTCTGGACAGATCCAACGGGCAGGGTCCCACCTCTGGACAAATCCAACGGGCAGGGTCCCTCTCACTTTACCATGAGACTTCTTTTTACGGAGAGGCCACAGCACGGCCCTCATGAAGGGGAGGGACATTACAGCACACAGCAGTGGTACTACCTGCACAAAGAGGTACATGAGGAGGCAGCACAGGGCTCTCAACGGGCCCTCGACAGCCTGCAGGTCTTCCTGCATGGAGGAGAGGTTGAAGCAAGCGAGAAGCACGTCAAAGCGCTGCGTCTGCACGCCTGGCTCCTGGGTCAGCCACAGAGTCTTTAAGTTAGGTGTTCCTCCTAAAGAAAAAGAACAAGTTTCTAAAAATACAAAAGGACACAAATCTCTGCCCTTCCTGCTATGCTTTAGGCTTCAAATGTGAAGGAATTTAGTAATTTCCTGGTTTAAACAAGCAACGAACAAAAAGAAAAAACTTTGCACAGGGGAGGGGGGTCCTGTGAGCCCAGGGTACCCATTCCAGCGAGCTGGGCAGCACGCAGATGAACTAGTGTTGTGACAGACCACAACACCCCAAAACCTCAAGTGCTTCTGCCCAAGCCTCACAGAGAGAGTCTGCCCACCACTACTGGAGGACAATGGCAGTCCAACACCTCAGCTAGTCTGAGCAAAATCCACATGCCGCCCAGACAGCCCATCAGTGGACACAAGGGACCACACGGCCATTACACAGCACAGGACAGGGAGGAAGGCTCAGTTCATGTGCTTGGATACAGAAGGCTGACAGGATGCACTTGGAGCAAGGCCACGGGGGAGGCAGGGCATGCGGGCACACGGGCTCCACTGCCGACAGTACCAACTGGATGAGGCGGGCGTGGACACGAGGGAGGCTGCCTCGGGTCTGTAGCACTCATGTACAGCAGAACCAAACACAAGCTAGTCCTGTGCCTTTCTCACAATCAAGGCTGTGCCTGAGTACTCTGTGGCAGCCACTGTGTCAATTCACCTTGTGAACTGAGCTTTCCGTTCTTCAGGGCTACTTTACCAAGCATAACGTCCTTCTCCAGGGATTGGTCCCTTCTGATGACACTGCAAAGTGGCTGAAATGAAGTGTCACCATCCTTCCTCATAAGAGCATTCTGGCCGGACTTCTTCCAGCAGTCCAGGGTATAGTCAAGGTTATTGCCAACACCAAATTCAAGGGCATCAAGTCTTCTGCTCTTCCTTATTCACTGTTCAGCTTTGGCTTGCATATGAGATGACTGAATATAACATGGCTTGGGTTAGTTTAGCCTTTAAAGTGACATCTTTGCTTTTGAACACTTAGAGGCCTTTTGCAGCAGATTTGTCCAATGCAGCATTTCATTTGACTTCCTGACGGCTGCTTCCATGGATGTTGATTGTGGACCTAAGTAACATGAATTCCTTGGCAACTTCAATCTTTTCTCCATTTATCATGATGTTGCTTACTGGTCCAGTTGTGTGGATTTTCATCCTCTTTCTGTTGAGATGGACTCTGTACTGATTAGTACATCTTTACTCTTCATCAGTAAGTGCTTCATGTCCTCTTCACCTTCAGAACACACGGCTGCAGCTTCTGTATACAGCAAGCTGCTGATGAGTCTTCCTCCAATCCTCATGCCATTGCTCTTCTTCACAAAATCCCATTTCTTGGATTATTTGCTGGGCAAATAAGATTGAATAGGAGTCCTGGTGTGGTGCTGTCGGTTCATGTGCTGGACTGCAAAGTTGGTTTGATCTCTGCCAAGTCGGCGGTTCAAGCTCACCAGCTGCTCTTCAGAAACCCGATACAGGGTCGTTATGGATCGGACCCAACGCGATGGCACTTAGTAACAACAAGAGTGAATCAGTGCGGTGAAAGAATACAACCCTGCCACACAGCTTTCCAAATTTAAACCAAACACCATCCCCTTGATCACTAAAACAACTGCCTTTTGGTCAGCGCACACGTTCCATATGAGCAGTTAAGTGTTATGGAATTCACATCCCTCACAATGTTACCCATAACTGAATTTACTATCCATGCAGTCAAATGCCTTTGCACACTCAGTAAGACACAGGTGAACACCTTTCTGGTATTCCTTGCTTTCAGTCTAGATCCATCTGTTGTCAGCAATGATGTCCCACATTCCATGTCCTCTTCTGAATCCTCCTTGTCAATATACTGCTACAGCTGTTGTTTAATTATCTTCAGCCAAGTTTTGCTTGCATGCTATAGTAAGGCTACTGTTTGATATTTTCCCCTTTTATCAGGTCACCTTTCTTTGAATGGACACAAACATGTATTTCTTCCCTTCCAATCAGCATAGACAAGTGAGTGTTTCCAGCATGTTGGAACATTTCAATCGGTATGCCATGATTTCCTGGAGCCTTGTTTATCTTCACTTCTTCCTTCAAGACCATCAGTTCATGATCATATGGTTGAATGTTAATCAATAATATTTGTTACAGTGACTTTACGTATTCCTTTCATCTTCTTTTAATGCTTCCTGTATCATCCAACAGATAACAAAGTGACACTTTTGCTTTTTAATGTTTTAGTCTTTTGTAGCAGATTGGCCCAATACAATACACGACTAGATTTCCTGACTGCTGCTTCCGTGGGTGTTGATTGTGGATACAGGTAAAAGGAAATCTTTGACAAGCTCAACACTATATCTTACTTTCTAATAAAAGACAAGAGGCAAAACCAAAACTGACCCAATTCCACAGCTGCTGACCACACATCTTAACACTGTAGAGTAGTGCCTAAGTTTGGGAGTCGAGACTATGGCATGAAAATCACACAGGCAGGAAAGCATTTGCGGAACATTATTTTGACTCTCCTTTCAAAGTACTTCTTGTCATAAAATCAGGATCATGCATGGGAACTTAGTTTTGGATTTGTGTCTATCACTAACAGATGGAATACAGAAAAATTCTCTATAAATAATTTTCCTCAATCTCTTTCCCAAAACAATTCTAATTCGAAAAAACACTTTGAAATAGCCAAATCCTTAGTTGTAAACTACAGATTCCTGTGGACTTAAAAGTACACAAAACATAAACTTTTAAGGAAAATATTTGTTCTGTAAAACAATGAAAAGGGCCACTATAAATACCCTGTAAAACCTCACCTCACCTGTGTCCGTCTATATGGAGAACATTATCCCAATGGGCGTTCCCAGTTCCTAACCTTCAGACACTAAGAACTAGAAGGAAGACTGTGAACTCTGTTTTGCTTCCCTCCCTTTAGGTTTCACATCACCATCCATGAAAATCAAACAAATTTTCAGTTCCTTCAGTTCAGTAACTCATCAAAATATACTTTGAGAGACAGAGTCAGTTAACAAAGGCTGTTGAGACCTAACTGCAATCCTTGCAGCAGTGTCTGCCGAGCCCAGTGCACCCGCAGAGCTCCCTAGCAGCCAGCCCCCTGGAATGTGGGATCCCTGAGAGCTCACACTCCTGACCGTCCACCACGACGGCCTGGTCCCTTGGGCTCCTCTCTGCCTTGGGGCACATCCCACTCTCTTTCCCCACCGTATGATCCAGCCCCGTGTGTAGGGCAGTAGGGCACAGTGTCCAGGTAAGTGTGGTTGGCACCTGACTCTGCTTCCTAGGACATCCTCAGACAGCACCTGCTGCTACCCTAACCAAGGCCTGCCCTGCTGAGTATGTTGAGCCACGCTTGGCTCTGCTAGGACGGGCCAGTGACATGGCACACCGCTCAGGGTACCTGGGACGCTCACTGGAAGAGGCCTGACCAGGTCCGGCTGCTTCAGAGGGTTCCCAGCGTACACGAACCATTCCTTCACTTCCTTCACCTCCTTGGCCTCCTTGGCTGGACTGAAGTTTTCATCTGCAGGGAGAGAGCGGTCAGTAAGTGCTGAGCGTACAGCCACAGGCCAGGGGCTTGAGGAGCTCAGTACACACCAGCACTGAGTTTTCATGTAACTGTTTAAATCAAACTCCCATCTGGCATCAAGGCAAATTCCAGAAAAGAGTAGAGAAAAGGCGTTGGGCAACAAGAAGGCAGTGTTCCTGGGAGGAAAGGTGGAGACATCCTGGAGTCTGCCTGCTGAGCAGCAAGTCTGGTCTAACCCCAACTAGAGACAGGAGTCAGCAGCCCCTAAGTCGAGCTCCAGCGGGCAGTGTCTGAACGAAACGCCTGGCGGTGTTGCTCTCTGTCCAGATCACTGCTCCAGCCCCGACAGGATGCTGCGCTCAGCACACACACAGGCAGGGCCACACATTGTCTGTGGGAGACAGTGCTGCCTGCAAGGCTGGAGTGCCAGAGCACCACATCAAGTCAGAGGTGTAAATCATGGCACCAGTTCAATGACAGTGAAACCACCTTCTTGACAGGCTTTACAAGTCAAGAAGCAGAGACGAGGAAATCAAGCCTGGCTGTTCCTGAAACAACAGGCCAATTTTCTCACTGAAACTTGCAATTTGCTGAGCTCATAGTTGAAAGGATTGGAGCGGAGATGTAGGCTCAGCGCTGGACGGCTAACCACAAGGTCGAAGGTTCAAACTCAGCAGCCTCTCCTCAGAAGTCCTGTACAGAGTCGCTGGGAGTCAGAAGTGAGTCATGGCCACTCAAAGACACCAAGTAAGACGCTGCCTAGGTAAATCTGGTTTCAGGGGCCCCATTTCAGGGGTCCTTCTGATGTCAGTATTCATAAACTTAAGTACTAGGTGAAAACTATTTGAAACACATTTTGTATTTTAAGAGAGTAAATAAATAATATACTCAAGTAAATTATTTATGACTGAAATAATTAACGTTAGTGAAATGAAATAAATCTTTAAAGTAAAATCATTTGCTACTTTAATGTCTACTTCTTGCCTGTAACACTTTATATGCAAAATGGAAAAAGAGTATAATCAAATTTACTCTTTTGCTATCCCCAAAGTATACATTATATTACTTGGTAAAGTCTTCTATATATAAGCTAAAACTATTACCCTTGGGAGCAAAACTGTAGAACTGCCCCTGTTTCTAGCGTCTCCCTCCTCAGATCTCTGACTAGATTAGATGAAATAAACACACAAATTCCCCAAGGTGTTGGAGAAAGTTGCTGTTGTCGAGTTGGTTTTAACCTGTAGCTACCCTGTATAGGATTTCCAAGGAACAGCTGGTGGGTGTGAACTACCAAACTTGTGATTAGCAGTCCAGTGCCTACCCTACAGCACCAGGCCAGGCCAGGACTACAAAAGAGAGAACAAGGGAAACCCATCAACTGTCCCCTCCTGGTCACTGGGATCTGATCTCCAGGCCTTTAAAATCCATAGTCACCGTACGGCTCCATAGTCTGATGTCGCAGTTGTTGTTTTAGGTGTCCGGTCCTGCGTTGCTACGCTTGAGGCCACTGCTGCTGCCACAGAGCCAGTCCATTTTGTTGGGGGTCTACCTCTTTTTCGCTGACTCTCCACTTTACCAAGCATGGTGTCTTTCTTCAGAGACTGGTCCTTCCTGATACTATGTCTGAAATATGGTCATTGAAGTCTGGACATCCTGGCTTCAAAGGAGCATTCTGGCTGTACTTCTTCCATACAGATTGGTTTGGTCTTTTGGCAATCCATGGTACTTTCAATAATCTCCTCCAGCACCAAACTCAAACCTAACAATTCTCCTATGATCTTAATTCACTGCTCAGCTTCTGCAGAAATATGTTGTTGTTGTGTTGTTGTAAAGTGCCCTCGAGTTGGTTCCGACCCATAGTGACCCTATATAGGGTTTCCGAGGAGCCACTGGCGAGCTTGAACTGCTGACCTTGCAGTTCAAACAGCTTTGCAGTCTGGCACATTAACTCACAGCACTATACAAGGGTTCCGCATAAGGTTACTAAAAATCCCATGGCTTGGGTCAGGTGCACCTTAGTTCTCAAACTGACATCTTTGATCTTCAACACTTAAAAGGGCTCTTGTGCATACAATATGCCTGATGCAATATTTCATTTCATTTCTTGAACTCCTGGTTCCATAAGTGTTGATGGTTGATGTGAGCAAAATGAAGTCTTTGACAACTTCAATCTTTTTTCCATTTATCTTGATGTTATGTACTGGTCCAGTAGTGAGGACTTTTGTTTTCTTTACATTGATGTGCAACTCATACCAAAGGCCTTTATCAGTAAGTATTTTAAGTCCTCTTCGTTTTCAGTAAGCCAGGTTGTATCATCTGCATAATGCAGGCTGTTAATGTGTCTTCTTCCACCTCTGATGCCCTGGTTTTCTTCATATAATCCAGCTTCTTGAGTTATGTGCTCAGCATATACAGATTAAATAAGCATGGTGACAGAACACAACCCTGGTGCATGGCTTTCCGATTTTAAAACCATTCAGTGTTCCCTCACTCTGTTCAAAGAATTGCCTCTTGGTCTACGCAGAGTTTCCTCAAAAGCACAATTCAGTGTTCCAGAATACTCATCATTCTATGCAATGTCGTCTGTAGCTTACCACGATCCACGTGATCGAAAGCCTTTGCTTAGTGAATAAAGCACAGGTGAACATTGTTCTGGTATTCTCTGCTTTCAGCCAAGATTCACCTGATGTCCGTTCTGATATCTCTTGTTCCATGGTCTCATCAGAATCCAGCTTGAACCTCTGGAAGTTCTTTGTCAACGTACTGTTGCAGCTGTTTTTGAATTATCCTCAGTAAAATTTTACTTGCGTGCTATATTAAAGATATTGTCCAATAATTCTGTATTCCATTGGGTCACCTCTCTTTGGAATGGGCATAAATATGGGTCACTTTCAATCAGCTGACCACGTAGCTGCATTCCAAATTTCTTGGCGTAGATAAGCGAGTGCCCCCAATGCTGCATGACTTTGTTGGCAAGAGCTCAATTTGTATTCCATCAATTCCTGGTGCCTTGTGCTTTGCCAATGCCTTCAATCACCTTGGACTTCTTCCTTCAGTATCATTGACTCTTAATCAGATGCTACCTCTTCAAACGGTTGAACATTGACCATTTCTTTTTGGTGCAGTGACAGTGTATTCCTTCCATCTTCTTTTGAGGCTTTCTGCATCATTCAATTTGTTTTCCCATCGAATCCTTCAATATTTCAAGTTGAGGCTTGCATGTTTTCTTTAGTTCTTTTGGATTAAGAAATGTTGAGTGTGTTCTTCCCTTCTGGTTTTCTAACTCTTGGTCTTTGCACATTTCATTGTAGTTGGCCTTGTCTTCTCTCATGCTGCTCTTTGAAATTTTCTGTTCAGCTCTTGCACGGTTTCATTTCTTCCATTTGCTTTAGCACCTCTATGCTGGAGAGCAAGTTTCAGAGTCTCTTTTGACATCCATTTTGTTTTTCTTCTTGTTGTTTTCTTAGTGACCTTTTGCTTTCTTCCTGGTATGATGTTCTTGATGTCATCCCACAACTCTTCTGGTCTTTGGTATTTAGTGCCTGATGCATCAAATCTGTTCTTGAGATGATCTTTAAATTCAGGTGGGATATGTTCAAGGTTATAGTTTGGCTTTTGTGGGCTTGTTTTAATTATCATCAGCTTCAGCCTGAACTTGCATGTGAGCAATTGATGGGTCTGTTCCACAGTCTGCTCCTGCCCTTCTTTTGGCTGATGATAGGAATTTTTCTACCTTCTCTTGCAACAAATGACCTCAACTTGACTTTTGTGTATTCCACCTGGTAAGGTCCATATGTAGTCTTTTATAAAGTTTAAAAAAGGTATTTGCAATGAAGAAGTCATTGTTCTTACAAAATTCTATCATGTGATCTCCAGCACCGTTTCTATCACCAAAGCCATACTTTTCAACTGCTGATCTCCCACTTTGTTCCAAACCTTTGCAGTCCAATCACCAGTAATTATCAATGCATTTTGACTGCTTGTTTAATCAACTTCAGACTGAGGAAGTTGGGTGTTGTTAGCTGCCATTGAGTCGGTACCGACCCACAGCGACCCTATATACAACAGAATGAAACACTGCCCGGTCCTGGGCCAACCTCACAATTGTTGCCATACTTGAGCCCATCAATGCTGCCACTTTGCCAATCCATCTCGCTGGGGTCTTCCTCTTTTTCTCTGACCCTCCACCTTACCAAACATAATATTCTTCTCCAGTGACTGGTCCCTCCTGACAATATGTCTGAAGTATGAGAGACGAAGTTTGGCCATCCTGGCCTCCAAGGAGGACTCTGGTTGCACTTCTTCCAACAATTTCATCATCACTGGCTTCAGTGGTTGGTGCATAAATTTGTCAAGGGTCGATTCATTAAGAAACGTAACAGCTGTTGACATATACAAAAACAAACTCAGCACTGCCTTGCAGCTGATTCTGACTCGTATCGATACTAAAGGACCGACCAGAACTGCTCTCTAGGGTTTACAAGGTTGTCAATCTTTAGAGAGCCAAACTACCTCATGTTTCTCCCACAGAGCGTCTGCTAGGTTGAACCATTAACCTTTCAGTAAACAATCCAGTGCTTAACCAACTGCACCACCAAAGCTTCTTATCAATATAAAAATCAAAAGCAGACTAACAGCCAACATGTTGATTCCAACTCATAATGAACCTGTACAGTGTTTCCGAAACTATACAACTTTACAGAGCAGAAAGTCTCATCTTTCTCTTGTGCTGGGTTTGAACTGCTGATCCTGTTGTCAGCAGCCCAGTGCCTAACCCACACTCCCACCATGGCTTCAGATTTTAACCTCAGTAACAGACAAGCAAGCACAGCCCATCTGTAAGATTGCTGAGGACAGAGCCAGGCAGTCCATCAGCTTCCAAAGGCATCTGTGCAGAATCCAGAAGGAAGCGCAGGCAGCACACACGTTCCTACGTGGTCTTTCCCAGGCCCGGCTGCCTCTGTGGCCAATTCTGATCTAATGCCTAGGGTCATGCATCGGCATTACCATGAAGACAGCTACATGTTCCCTATGCTGATGTGTGTGAAGTCCTGGGGTTGCACATCGGTTTGGCAAGGAACAAGTCCACAGTCCCACAGAGAAGCAAAAGTGAGTCAGGACAAAGCAAGAGGTTTGGAGGGTTCCTGGGTTTCAGATCTGTGGAGTAGCACTCCACACAGGGCAGAGTGAGGCTGGTGGGCTTGAACTGCCAACCATGCTGTTAGGAGTCTGGTGTCGTGGCTTCTGACCTGGCCTAACTTCAGAAGGAACCATGACCAGGATTAGCCCAAAATGGATTCCCAGGAGGTGGAGGTCAAACACAACTCTACCCTCCAACCTTTTGACCAACCTAACCCTAAGCTTCCCTCTGATGGCACTCTCTACTTCCTTTCTAGGTCTGACATACATTGCAATGGCCACACAGAACTCATAATCCACACACACAATTAAGAGGTTTATTAAGGAAGCAACAGGTTACAACTTGGGATTAGGATCAGGAGGTATGTAGGCAAAGTCTGCCTTCTTCAGATTTTTGCGCTCTCACCCAAGTAGGTCCCCTCCCAGGCCTCTCACTATCTTCAGTGTTAAAACCCTTGGGGGAGGGGGGGGTGGGTTCCTTTCTTCTCTTTCTCTTTCTGCTGATTCCTGTTGACTTTCTTCTATCTGAAAAATTTATGTGGGGCTGGCTCCTTACAGTGACTGGTGTCATTGTTAAATGCTGTTGAGTCAGGTTCAACACATAGTGACCCATAGGGTTTCCAAGGAGTAACTGGTGAGTTTGAACCACCGACCCCATGGTTCAAACCGACCTTGCAGTCCAGTGCTTGATCCTACGGCACCACACCAGGACTCCACTTACAGTGACTACTCATCATCAATTTCAAAAAAAGGACTTCCCAGCAAGGCCACAAACTAACCAACCCTCCACAGTAGTCCTAGACAGTGCATTTGCATAGGAAGCTATGAACACTTTATTAGCATACGGACCTATCCTTACAAGGTGCATGCTAACCATAGGGCAGGTTGCAGCCCAGAATCAAACCGTAAGTTGTTTACAGCTTACCCAAGAAATGTCTATCAACCTGGACAAAGGTAACAAACCCTCTAAGGTAAAAAATTACTGCAAAGGCAACAACTCAGGGTTTAGGGGAAAAATCTCTCAACCTGTTTTATCAAGGAACCAAGCCAAATGACCCTGTGTTATTGTTATGTGCCACGGAGTCAATTCTATAGAGACCCTGTGCAGGGTTTCCAAGGAGCGGCTGGTGACTTTCACATGCCGACCTTGTAGTTCAAACTGACGTTGCAGTCCAGTGTTTATGCTGCAGCGCCACACCAGGCCTCAAACGGTCACATAGAGGAACTTATTTCACCACAGGACTTAATAACGCGTTTTCAAAATATCTGAAGGAAAAACTGCCAATGAAGGAATATATAGAAAAATCCATACCAATAGCTGGAGATTTCAACTCTCTTGTCTGAGTAACTAAGAATAAAACTAGGAATATCAGTAAAAGGCTGGTACAACCCTATTGCAAAGCCTCAAATCCAACAACTGTGGAACACGCATTCTTTTCAAGTGCACGTGAAAGAATATCACAGGGTATGACACTCGTTTGTCATCAAGATAAACCACCAATAGCATGGAGGCTCGGCAGGATAAGCACTGGACTGTGAACCGCAAGGTCAGAGGTTCAAGCCTATCAGTTGCTCCATGGGAGAAAGATGAGGCTCCCACCAAGACTGACGGCCACAGAGACCCCGACGGTCACACAGACCCGACAGTCACAGACACCACACACCAAGCAGCAGCACTTCATTTTCACGTTCTTCCATAAAACTTCAGTAGAAAGTCCAAAAGGTGAGACTAAAAGGTTAACCAGAAAGACAAGCTCAATGTGAGCAATTTTTCTTGTTAGGGCGTTGTTGGTAAGTGCCGTTGAGTCAGTTCCAAGTCCCAGCGATCTTGCGTAGGGGTTCTGAGGAGGAGCTGGTGGGTTTGAACTGCCGACCTATGGTTAGCAGTCCAGTGCTAGTGCTTATCCTACAGCACCACATCAGGAGTAAATTGTATTAACAAAGAGTAAAATATAAAAATTGGTAAAACTATAAAATATGTATGTATATATATTTAATCTCACTGAAGAAACTGCTCTGGAAACAACTCCAGGTAAACAATTTTATACTGCAAAAAAAGGTTCATGATGAATATAATAATCATTACAGTCAATCTGCAATCTTTCATGGCAACTAAGAAAGACTATAGGAAGAGCACCTGATAGACACAGAAACAGAAAATAGCCATTTAAACGTTTGTGACCCCAAAGTTTGTTAAGTAGCTTCTTCTGTTTCTGACTTTAAGTCAGCTTTTCTGACATCTTCCTGAGGCCACATATGGGAACGGCAGTATGTGTTGGGTGGTGCTAGGGTTCTATTGAGAGCTGATTCTAACCCCGCCTTCCTAAAAAAGAATCATCACAGCCTCTAATCCGACCATCGAGCACCACGTTCAGACGATTGACGTCCACTTTCTGGAATGGTTGTTAGTCACTGCACAACAGAAGGAAATGCCGCTGGGTCCGGCGTCACCGTCACCACTGTTAGGGTTAAGTCCACTGCTGCAGTCACAGTGACAAACCATCTCGTTGAGGGTCTTCCTTATTTCCGCTGACCCTCCATTTTAGCAATCATGATGTCCTTCTCCAGGAACTGGTCCCTCCTGGCAACAAGTCTAAAGTATGAGAAACAAAGTCTCCCCAACGTCACTTCCAAGACAGACTGGTTTGTTCTTCTGGCAGCAGTCCATGGTATGTTCAATAATCTTCACCAAGACCATTAACGTAAATGTATCAATTCCTCTACAGTAACCAGCTTCACATACACACGAGGCAAACGAAAATACCATGGCTTCGGTTAATTATTTAGTCCTCAAACTGGCATCTTTGCTCTTGAACATTTTAAAGAGGTCTTGTATAAACAAGACATCATTTGATTTCTTGACTGCTGCTTCCAAGAGCACTGATTATAGAACCAAGCAAAATGAAGTCTCTGCCAATTTCAATCTTCTCTCCATTTATCATGATGCTATTTACTCCTCCAGTTGTGAGGACTCAAGTCCTCTTCACAGTCAGCAAGCAAGGCTGCATCATCTGCATATCGGATGTTATTAATGAGACTTCCTCCAATCCTGATGCCACATTCTTCTTCACATAATCCAGAGTCTTGAATTATTAGTTCAGCATACAGACTGAGTAACTATGGTGAAAGAATACAATGTGACACACCTTTCCCGACTGTAAACCATTCACTATCCTGCTACCATAGTGGATTATGAGCTGGCTGCTACCACAACGTAAGCAGTCCGAGTCTACCAGTCACTCCACGGGAGAAAAGATGAGGCTTTCTGCTCCTATGAAGATTCACAGCCTCATAAACCCTATTGTTGTTGTTGCTATGTGCCGTGGAGTCGGTGCCGACTCAAAGCAACCCTGTACAGGGTTTCCGAGGCTGCAAATCTTTACAGGAGCAGAACAGCTGGTATAGTTTCGAACTGTTGACTGTGAGATTAGCAGCCCAGTTCGTAACCGCTACGCTACCAGAGCTCCTTCATAAACCCTATACAGGATTGAAATGAGTTGCAGCTGATACACGGCCCAAACCCACCACCACCATGACAAAACCACTATCTGAAATAGGGTAATGTTGGCAAATGCCTTCAAGTTGGTTCTGACTCATAGCAACACTGTATAGGGTTTCCGAGGAGCGGCTGGTGAGCTTGGACTGCCAACATTGTGGTTAATACTATTACTAAATGTGGGTAATGTGCTAGACCTCACCAGGTGCTCCTTGGAAAGCCTACACAGAGCCGCTATGAGTCGGAACTGAGTCGACAAAACAACAATACTGGTACTTAGAAACAATGTTTGGGCAAAAGGGCCCCAGGCACTGTTCCACTGAGGTCCTGTCGTTGCTCATGCTGGCCCTGGTACCAGCTTGCGCGGGCCCCGCTTCCCCAGCACGCTCCCATCAGACCCTATGACACCAGCTCGTTGGTAACCCAGTCCCTGTGGAGACCACAGACCCACAACTGTGCACTAGGGGTTGGAGGTTCCATTTCAGTGACTGGGGTGCAATGGAAAATGGGTGGGACAAATGTACATTTAACTACAAAACACCAAATACTTGTTTATATTTTAAAACATGATGCACCAGATTTTGTAAAATTATTTGATGAGGATCACACTGTGAAGGGAGACAAAGCAGACAATGGCTTCTGCTAATAATAACCACACCCTACATTACTGTAGGAATAAAGAGTTTTCACATTTTCCAAAAAAACACAAATCCTTTTAAGGTATTAAAACACAATATTTTATAGAAACAATGCAGTATTCTTTTACTGAATACTGATCAACTGCTTGCTAATGACTTATGGCTGTCCCATGACATTTACTTTTAACATTCTACAGATGTGAGTAGTATTGTGTTCTAGAGTTTACAGAGGAACAAAACCCCACTTACTCGGCTCTGTGTCTGAAATGAAAGGCTCTCCGCTCTCCTCCATGGGGCCCAGAGCACACTCACCTTCCCCGTTCCCCAGCAGGAGTGCATAGACACGCTGGCGCACAGGGCGGTAGACGAAGGCCTGGCTCGGAAGGGCCTGTTCCAGTTCATCCTCCAAGGTGTTGCTGCACTCGATCTCTCCGCTGCTCAGGATGTTGTAGAGCAGGTAGCTCTCACCCTGAACGTGCTGGGCTTTAGCAACCTGGTCAAAATGTCAATACAACACAGCTGACTTTTCCTTGGGAACAAAGACTCACGGGGAACCCTTGTGACCTAGACCTGCCCTGCAGGGGTTCCTAGGTGGTCTCTTCTCCACTGGAGGTGCTATGTGGGTTCAGACCACCACCCTTTGGGTTAGCAGTCAAGTGCTTAACCACTGTAGCACCAGGGCTCCTCTGTAACCTGCAAACAGAAGAAGTCACACCTGCCAGAGGCCAGCTTTCGTGTGGCCCTCAGAAATGGACTCATTCCCTTTCCTCTGGTCTCCAGGCTCTCCAGCCATGCACCACTGTGCCACATTCCCTCCCAAAGGTGGCATCAGCCTGTCCAGCAGATCCACTCCCAGCACAAGGGCTCAGTACTTTTTGTCTCCATTATGATACAAGGGTTCCAGAAGGTTCACTCCAGGCTTCGTTCCAGCCACTGCGCACGCGCTTCCTAGAACCAGGGCTCATCATGACCCTCGTTTGTCAAAGCCTGTGACAGCCAGCTGTGGTTGCTCATTACGGCAGAAACCTGTCACCCATCAAGACAGGAGCAACTTCACTGCTCATCCAGAGACCCTGTGCCTCCTTACTTTCTCCTGGAGAACTCCAACCCCTTATCTGTTCTGGGAGGTTGCCCGCTCCTCACCTGTGCTTCACCTGACTGTCCCTCCCTGCTACAGCATCACCTAGAATGCCTCCTTCTCCTTTCCCCATCAGAGCTGCGGACCTAGTAGAGGTGCCTTGTCCAGCTCTCCTGGTCAAGATAAGCTGCTGCTCTGGACCGGACACTGCACGGCAGTTTCCTGGGTGTCTGCTCGTGACCGAAACTGGGCAAGGTCAAACACCAGCACAGCACGGGGCTGTGAGGGACTCAAGGACTCGCATGACTTCTACCTCCTCATGAACTAAGCAGCCAGGGTCAGAAGGCCCGCCCATAAAGACCCCATACTGCTCTCATTTTCCTGGGACGAGTTCTTGTTACCGTGGGTACAAAGTGTAAAGCCAATCACCTTACATGCCACCCCCACGGCCAGCTTTCACACGCATCTGCCATCCTTCTTAACCAGGCACTGGCCCCTGCTCTCGGCCCTCACTCCGAGTGCACGCTATATGGGAGGGCACATCTACATACCTTTAAGATTTCAGGGTCTGAAACCATGGCTGTGTCACGCTGGACCTCATGGTAGGAACCAGAAGCTCCTTGCTGCTGTATTTCAGGGTCTGTGCATGTCGATGCTTCTGGCTGGGAGTCCGGGTCTGCACACCTGGGGATTTCTGGCTGGGAGTCCGGGTCTGAACTCAAGGACGAAATTTGCTTGTCCAAAGTTACTACAGCATTGGATTTAGGGGAAAACCACGGTGATTTCTGTCCTGGCAAAAGGTATGATGTCACTCCTTTATAAAAAAGTGCTTTGTTTGGTCCCAAAGGTAACATTTCTTCTAATGTCTTCTCACCTTGATGCAGGTGAAGAACGCGAGCGATATGGTCAGCCACAGCCAGGATGACACTGCCCCTCTTGTCCAGGCTCTCGTTCATAGCGGTGTACGCAGCCAGACACTTGTAGCGAAAGCCTTCAAACATGCCTTCAGGAACGATGTCATTCCCAAGCAAGCAGGCGAGGAGTGGAAGGTCAGCCACGCTGAGACGCAAGCTCTCACAGAGCTTCTCCCGGCACAGCATGACTGTGTCCAGCGTGTCCAGACAGAGCTCCCTGATGGAGAGGTAAGGACAGGTGTTGTAGATCAGGTAGTCGGTGTCCTCGCCCAGGACCCCCAGGCAGCCTTCCCAGAGGCCGCGTGCGGCCACCTCATAGTCAGCCTCCTGCAGGGAGCAGTGGGTCTCCTGGCCCAGGGCCCTCAGGGCGAGCCGTGTGAACACAGCCAGTCCGGGTGGGATGAAGAACATGTGCCTGCCAGGCTGCTCGCCTCGGGACTTGACATAGTGGAAGATCCTGGAAATCTCCCTGCTGTTCTTGTGTCTGCGCTTCACCCATTCGGCTCGCTTGTCCTGTTCCACCATGCCATCGAAGAAGAACACCAGCTTGATGCCCACATCTGTGAACGTCTCGACGAAGCCTCGCAGGGCAGAAAAGTACTCTCGCCACTGGCCGCCACAGACCCAGGACTCAGGTGTGTACCAGTACCGGAGACAGCACATGGCGTCAACCACGATGGTTGGGGGACAGCCAGGGTGTCTGCTCTGGTGGCGCTCAGCCAGGTCTCGCAGGTTTACTACCGTACAGATATGTGGGCACGTGCTCCCCACGAACCCCTGCAGACCTCGCACGCCCATGGTGGAGAGGACCTGCAGAGAAGACACACCAGTCCTTGGTAACGGCAGCACTGTCGCCAGACACAGGGCCAATGCCGAGCCACGCACAGCAGTCTTCAGGCCCACCCTAAACTCATGTTAGTGTGTCGTAAGGCGGTGGTGAGGGTTGCTAGGATGCTGGAAGCTATGCCATCGGTATTTCAAACACCAGCAGGACCATTTACGGTGGGCTGATTTCAGCCAAGTTTACAGACTAAGACAGACTAGGATGAAAGGGCTGGAAAGCTACTTCCCGGAATTCACCAATGAAAACCTTACAGCTCACAACAAAAAGGAGTTCTTGTGTTGGAAGGCAGTGCAGACACAACAGTGGACGTGCGTGTACTGACCTGGACAACAACTCAGAACAGTTCTATTTCCTAAGACACTGGTCACCCATGTGAAGTCTTGGTACTAGACAATCGCGGGACAGTATAAGGTAGCTGTGGGTTCCGACCCTCACTTACTCAACCAACACCCAAAGCCAGCTGCTTTAAAGAAGGAATATCTGACGCCTAGGGAACCCTAAAGAATCAACTGGTACTAGCAACATGGATAATTCCCAAAACATTTGTTGAGTGAAAGAAGTCAGAGGACTACTACCGGGTTCCGTTCCAACAAAGCTCGACTTGACCTAGAGTTAGCTGCCCTTACAGAAATCCCATCACGGGTTGGCTGGAGAGGGGCAAATGGGAGGGAGGCACTGAAATTGAGAAACCTGATTAGGGCAAAGGGTTTCTAGGTTTCTTGGGTGTGCATACAAATCAGAACTCAAGCCAGTGTGCATGTATGATACATGAAGTGTGCACGTGTGATACATGCAGTGTGTGCGTGTGATACATGCAGTGTGTGCATAGAATACATGCAGTGTGAACGTATAATACGTGCAATTTGCTGCATGTCAAAGAAATTGTTTTAAACATAAACATTCACTATGCCGATACCAACTTTCAATGGAAAACTGCCATTCTAAAATTCAAAAACAGGTACAAAGTAGTTCAAAGAGTTAGAAATCCAAAATGTAACAAAGATTGAAGCATGCTGCTTTATACAGTAAAAGCTGCAAAAGCTGGAACCTGTCAGAGAAGGAAAACGCAAAGATCTGACACTAATGTTGTTGAGTGCTGTCAAGTTGGTTCTGACCCATAGCGACCCTGTATAGGGTTTCCAGGGAGCAACTGGTGAGCTTGAACTGCCCACTGTGGTTTAACTCAACTTTGCAGTCTAGTGCATTAATCCACAGCGCCACACCAAGACTCTTCACTAATCAAGAGCAGGGGAAAAAAGATGTAAGAGTGCACCCAGCCAAGAGACAGCCGTCACTGCAGAACATGAGGTGAGAGGCTTTCTCTAAAATGAGGCAGGTGCCGCCTCTTTACAGACTCTCCCACCTGCAGCCTTCTCACAGCTCTCTAGCTGCTTGGATAGGCTCACTTCCCCTGTGTACTGGCCACACCAAACTCACAGACCATGCTCATGATCACGGGGTTATTAAAGGAACTTGTTGCTGTTAGGTGTCTTTGAACTGTTCCAACACATAGCAACCCTGTAAAGGGTTTCTGAGGAACGGCTGGTAGGTTTGAACCACCAACCTTGCAGCCGAGTGCTTACCCTACAACTCAGATTCTGTTCTTTGATCAGGAACCTCTCTCACTCTGGGCCTGGGCCCCGAACAGGGCAAGCGTTACCAAGCTCTTTAGCTCTGTCAGTAAGTCCCCGGAAGGTCAGGGAGCCTAGGCTGCCTGTCCCCTACCACTGCCATAGCTCACTGTCTCCAATGTTACGGCTGTTGCATGGGGTTCTCAGAGCAAGGACTATGGGGCTAAAGGAGATGAGGTAGTGAAGTATCCCTTCCAACCTCTAGCACTGGTTCCCTTGAAGCCCAGTGGGATGGTAAAACTGACCAATTCCCTCTAAGGGAATCCACCTATCTGCACTGTCCCACCCAATCAATCTGTGGGAGTTAACAAAACTATTGCCAGAAGGGCCATATTAAAGCAATTCAACAGATAAGCAACAGACAATCAATAGACAGAGAATGAATACTAGCGCCTGTCAATGGTCAGCACACACACACACCCCCCTCAGAAGCAGTGGCAGCTCTTAGCTCAGTGATCTGCTCCTCTCAGCCTCTCCAGAAGAGAAAACACCAAGCACTTAAACAGCCAGACACAATAGACACCTCTCTTCAGCTGGGCACTGCTCTTGGTCCATGCCTGGCCCATGGTGTACAGTCCACAGAGCCACAGTTTCACTGACAGCCCCCCTGCCACCACCAGCAGACCCTAAGGACTGTGTTCTGCACAAGATGGGAGCCAACGTTCCCTTCTGGAATTCACTGATGCTACCAGATACTGCTCCCAATGGCACAAGCTGGGCTGACATGTTTAATTCATGAACAGTGAGAACACATAGACAATAGACACTGTGTGGACGGACAGAGCACACAGTTGATGCTGAGTTACTGAAGACGAGGGAAAACATACATTCAGTACTGGTAAAACTTCTCTGTAAAACAGAGCTCAGATGAGTTACCAACTTGCTGCAGGAGCATGCCAACTACAGACGGTTGTGAGTTGGGTTCCTGCACTGGATTCTGGGACCAGAGCCGTCTAGAAACTTACTCCACATTCCTGAAGCAGGCTGGTTTTCCTCACATCGCTCTAATACGGCAGGTAAGGGACAGGCTTGGGAAATGGGGTGCAAGAATACAAAGACGGTTGGTTGGAAAAGTAAACCCCAACACCTAGATGATACAAATTCTACACCGTCATCTACTGGCCTGCTGCTCTGAGTTAAGTGGGCTTTGGGAGGTTTGGGGATGGTCCAAGGATCTCCAGAGGTGGAGCCCACATGAGAGGAGCCGCAGATCTGAGAAAGCCCACCCCCACTCCCAACTCCAGAGCTCATCCAGCAGCAGGGAGCAAACCCCAACTTCCAGCTTCTTCTAAAGCAGCAATTGACAACACAGCTTCTCAAAACCTTCTCTACTTTATTTTGCAGGGGGTCAGGCCAACCACTGGGCTTTGATTTTATTCAAATAGTTTCCTCCTTTCTTCCCCCAGGAGTGAAAACCTCACTATGTTAATTAAGCAGGTACTAGTTCTCCTGCCTCTCACAGTGCTGACTTCTCAGCTTTGAACTACAATTACAATGTAGCTCCCAGCCACAAAGGAGGGCAAGGACTCCGCCCAGCACCTTAGCACCTTCAAAGCATTAAAAACTCACATCCTCCCCTTCACAACCCTGCCCCCAGCCTTCTAGTCCCTTCCCAATACCCTGTAAGGGAAATGAGGAGAACAGAGACACGCTATTGCTACAACTTTTTAAAAGTGATTGTCTTCACTGTTTTAAGCATTTTATTGTTGAGAACACATCCTTAGTCTTTCATTCTCTCAAGCTAGTCACTAACAGACGACTGCAAACAGCATTCACTTAACATGTAGGGAATTGAGACCTTTTATGACTTTAGTTAGGACTATCTGGGTCAGAGACATGTACCACATACAGTGCTGATTGTCTGGGCCAATAACATGCATGATACACCGTGTTGTAGCATGAATGGTGTCATTTACAGAGGTTCAAAGATCAGATCTATAAAGATACTGATAATAAGAGGCAACAATAATGAAAACTGAAAATAGTATTTGGCATCAGAATCAGCTTACAACAGTCACTGGTCCAGAACTCTGTTTAAGTTGGACTGAGAACAAACTGAAAATACATTTTTGTAACATGTTTATATGCATATGTATAACCATGACATATATGGCATGTTGGCCTACATACAATTATAGCATAATAACATATATGGCATTGTTGTTAAGTGTCATTAACTTGGTTTCAAGTCATAGCCACCCTGTGTAGGATTTCCCAGGAGTGGCTGGCACCACACTAGGACTCCATATATTTCTAACATTCATGATGTATGTACATATACAATGTACATGTGTGTGGTATGCATGCATATAGCTGTAATGTGTATCCTATAACATACACGTCATGCATGTATACATCTGTTCACATGTGTGCATATATTTATAACCTATAGGGCATATATATATATAAAGTCCTGGTGTGGTGCTGCAGGTTAATGCACTGGACTGCAAGGTTGGTTTGAATCACTAGGTCGGTGGTTCAAGCTCACCAGCCGCTCCTTGAAAACCCTACACAGGGTCACGATGAATTGGAACCAACTTGACGGCTCTTAACAACAATAACAACAACAAGTATATACATATAGGATCAGCATTGGACTGCGAACCACAAGGTCAGCAGTTCAAAACAACCAGGCAATCCTTGGAAACCCTATACAGGGTCGCTATGAGTCGGAACTGACTCGAAGGCACTTAACAACAACAACATATACTATATATGGCATGTACATTTTTTTTGTGTGTGGGTTTTTTGTCCATTTTATGCAGGGAAAGAAAACAATTTCGTTAGACAGAAGAAGGCCTTTACTGTGCTGGGCATAAGAGGCATGCCATGGAGAGGAGCCACAGATGATGGGCAGCATTGTCCTGCTGGTCAGCAGGGGCTCTAGGAAGGAATCAAATCCCATCTGAGAACCTTCAGCAAGTCACTGAACGGTACCAGCATCATTCTCCTAACCTGAGAACGGTTTGTAAGACGAGGTGCCTCTATGCTGCTGGGGTGCAATTTATTTATAAGTTTGTCCATCAAGTACTTAGCAGTTGCCAAAAGTTTAGTAAAATCAGTCTAATACCAGTCATGTCTGAAACTGTCTTAAAATGTACACAAAATCATGTAAATTTTAATGGGGTGTTACTGCATCCAGGATTTTTATAAGCAATGGGCTTAAAGGTACCAATAATTGTGAGGATGGGGCAGGATTAGGCAGTGTTTGGTTCTCTTGTATATAGGCTCACTCTAAGTCTGAACCAACTCAATGGCATGTAATATAGTTTTTCAAATATCAGGATTGTATATTTATAAGAAAAGGAGCTCTGGTAGCGTAG